AGTTTTACTCCATCGAGACTGAAATCCTAAATATACTTGCAGAGCAGTAAGCCCCACTGAACAGAGGTATTCCACTCATGAGTTGTGCAATTGTGTTGGATGCCTTAGTCAGGCCATAGAACTACTGTACATATTTTATAGTTTTCTATTCCATGTGGATATGTAGAATTAATAATGTCTGTGTACCTCTAACACTACTGCTTCTCATAAAAACACTACCCTGAAGCATAGCTTTGATTAACAAGCAAAAACATAGTTAACCCATGACTATTTACTTAAGCCAAATCAAAACTTAACATTTGGGAAGCCTATCCTTTAAATGCTAAGGGGGAAAAACAGCTCTAAATCATTGCCTGCACTAGATGGGAAAGCATATTAGGATTAGGGGCTTACTCTTTGCATTTTGTAATGGTGTCTTATGTGTACTAGAAAGTTTCATGGAGAAAATACAACAACACAATGTCAAAGAGTTTTACGAAAACAGAAAATTGCCTAATTGACACAACAGTTTACCAGAATGAAATAATGTCTTGTTGTACATATGTATATTTATAATCCATGACAATGGATTTCTTGATATCTGGTCACCTTCTGGATGAACAAACACTGATGATTTACTGTAATAAATGTTTATACTTTAGAAAATATAAATGTTTATATTTTTATAAATATTTATTTTTAAAAAATATATTAGAAGCAAGTTTTTGAAATTTCAAATACAATTTTTTTTCTTTTTTAAACTTTCTTAAACTGAAACTATGATTCTCTTATGAAAGGCTGCCTTTCTTCTCAAAGGAAGATGTGCAAAAAACATATTCAGTCATAATATCGTGTAATGTATGTATTTACTAGTCATGCACTTTTCATTGGATTAGTTATAAAGGATCAGGCTCATATGAATTGTCTGTGGCAGTCTAGCTCAGTGAAACAGAAAAGATCATCAATCAAAAACTGCTTATTTGTTTCAGCCTATTCCCCTGTTTATAGATGTTACTCAAAGATAGCATGAAGACCTTATCAGTTTTTTCTACTTTTCTCTGCTTATAGAAATAGCCCTGAATTGAAAAGGATCACATGCTCCATCCACAGAAAACTGGAAAGCTAGAATCCAGACTCTCAGAGGATGGAGAAAAACTAACTCATTTTACTTTATTTGGCTCCTATTTAGTAATGATATAATTAACACTACCTATTGGGCTCCCATGTCAATCTGTGGAACAAAGTCTTAGACCAGTGGTTCCCAACCTTGGGTTTCCAGATGTTCTTGGACTACAACTCCTAGAAATCCCAGCCAACACAGCTAGTGACAGCTTCTGGGAGTTTTAATTCAAGAATATCTGAAGACCCAAGGCTGGGAACCATTGTCTTAGGCGGATACATATTTCTAGTGAAAGCAACAGCAGATTAGACTAATGCCCTTTAGAAACTAAAATGTAGAAAGTCGGATACTTGTGCATTAATTATAACCTATGATTTATGTATTATTCTTTATATTAGTTACAATACTTACAATACATTTTTAACTAGGAAGTGAGTTCCACTTTGTTCAGTGGTGCTCGTTTCCAGATAAATTGTACATATGATTGAAGGCTTAAACTAGTGTTATTGCTTAGTATATTTGCATGTGCATATTCCCCATCTATAAACAGACACAATTTTACAGTAGAAAAAGTATGCTATCAGATTACGTAAAGCCTGTTTTGTTGTTGTAAATCAATATTTTCTACCTTTTAATACACCCAAATATGCCCGTCTGCTCAGAAGGCAAGAGTAAAAAGGAGAAATTAGATTTAAATGGGTATTTTCCTCTCTGCGACTTAAATCATGGGACTATTATGAATCTCCCAGGACTTTTTCTGAATGTAACAAGATTATGAACCCTTTCCTGAGCGCTAGCCAATCAAAACCATGGATGAAATCTATGCAAATAGAAGGAAAAGTAGTATTTAATTTGACAGATTGCCATTCCGTGTAATGTGGCTGCATTTTAACCTGCAGGAACAGCAACATTTTCAGTTCCCTGAGGCACAAAACACAAAAGATCAGTCTTAACATATATTTTGAGTCCTCCAGTAACTATTAGCTTTCACAAATGTAGTTAGGTAAATTAATATATGTTTTACTTTGGCAGTCAGATATTACTGAACTGCTTATCTACATGAAGCAAAACGCTTCACCCTAGATTTTAACACAGAGAATACTGAGGGGATAAAAACTCAGTCTCTCAGCAATATGTCCAGACACTTAAAAAACCCACAATCAGTTTTCCATAAGACCCCGTGTAAGCCTGTGTCAAGGTGTATCACCTTCATCAATCCCAGGACAATCAACATTGCTCTTCTTGTTGTCTTGTTCAATCACATGTATCCAGTCTACCCTTCTTAAATTTAACCTCCAATACATGGTTCTCCTTTCATTTTACTTTCATACTTATTTTCAGTTCAACTGTTAAATCTAAATCCTGTATGGTTTTTAACACTGTAAATTGGAGAGGGGAAACTTGTGACTCCCACCCCAGAAGATGCTCTATTGTGGCGCCTATCATCCCTCAGCATCGGCTATGCTGATTATAATTGATGGGAGTTGTAGTCTAAACTATCTGTAGGGCCAGATGTTGCCCCATCCCTGATCTAAATAAACAACTAGCTGATTACGCAATTATTCTCTATATTTTTTTACCTCCTTTCAAACACCAATTATCCAACTTCCTGTTCATAGTGACAGGTTGGTTTTAGATACAATTTGCCAAGCTATAATCTACCTTTAGAACACTAACCCAGTCACACATCTTTCATAAACTAAATGGCACTGGTGTTACTGGATAAAATCTGATAAATTTAAAGAACATTTTCTATTCCCTTTACGATGAAGTATGTATTTTTCTAGAGGCAATATTCAATATACTGTGAGTATAACTATACTAACTCTATACTGCCAGAGAGAAAAAAAATGCATTCTGTAACAAAAGTTAGGATAGGGAAGGTGTTGCCTTCCAGATGTCGTTAGACTACAACGCTCACTATATTTTTTTTACTTTCCTGTGATGGCTGGATCTGACAGCAGCTGCAAGAGTCAGTACAATGGTTAAAGAGGACTGGAATCCAGGTCTCCTGCTAAGGGCTAAGCACAAAATTCATCCTGGGCCAATCCCCATTCTCTGCAACTCACCTACCTCATATATTCTTGTGCAGAAAAAAAAATAATGGAAATAAGATGGCTCACTTTAAACTTACTGAAGGAAAGAAAAAGCAGAAATAAAAGAAACAAGCAAAAAAAAAACCCACCTAGAGGGACAGATGTTTCCCATTCCTGGCTTAAAGATTAATAAGCCTACTGTGACATGAACTTTTGTAGACCACAACTTTGAATGTTGTCTCCACTCTTCTGAGAATGGATACACAGTTTTCTCAGTGATCCTTGTACTCTTTTCTACTTATGTGACAAAGACTGTATTCTAAAAACTGTTCGTAATATTCAGAAACATAAATTCTACACCATGGAAAAATCTTGGTCTTTGGTGTTTTTACAGGTTGGTTTCTAGCCCTGAGGGCTGGAGAGCAAGATCTGAAAACAAGTCTGTGCAGTTAGCAAGGTGTGTATATCCTGCTAAGCTCCCTACTGCCCCAAATGCTATGTACTTCTCTAATTACTTATCTGTATATCTTCCACAAGAACTGCAGCCTTGTCATTCAGGCTTATACTGCTAAGCTGGAGTTGTTCTAAACTCTATTGCGGGGTGGGGGGGAGCATTGAACCTACACTACATGGGTGATGCTGCTGACTTTTGTGGCATTATTAACATTAGCCCTTTCAGGCCTTTCTTCTTCCCAGGCAACATAACACAACTAATGCCTTATGACTTTATGAGACAGTGGCAGCTCAACTAGCTGGATCAGACTACCATCCTGTTGGCCAACTGTTGCCTCCTACCTTACAAGGATGGTGTAAGAATTAAGTAGAGGCATATGAAGCATTTACACCAAACACAGAGAAAAAGCTGCACACCCTAAATGTGCTTACAGCCAGTTTATGGATTTTTTTAAAAAAAAACAACAATGTAACACACCACTTCCTAGACAGGACCTACTCAAAACAACACACGGTTTGAGCTTACTCGAAACAATCCACAGCTCCACCTCCACACTGCCCCTACTTGTCTTGAGCCAACTCCTACCTTATGTTTCAACAGTAATTACATTAAAATACTAATTTAAAGCACGCATGCAGCTTCCAACAACCATCAGCAGCTGCTGACTAAACATGATGCCTCCACAGTAAATCTTGTGTGTCCTTCTACCCAATAAATTCTCTTCTTCCTTCTCCACCTGGTCAAACATGTTCCAACCTAACCGGGATGCTGCAAGAGAGACACATTCACGTTGACACAAAACCACCGGCATCGCTTTTCCTAGCAACTCACTCATCAAGCCTTTGGAGAGACCTCCCTGTCCTGTCTGACTTTTTGCAAGGCAGTGGCTGCCAAGCAAGGGCCCTGCAGACGGCAACTCCCCAAATCCCTCAGCAGGCTGGCTGGCTGGACAAGCCAAACACAAGCCCTCTCGACCTCTGGCCTCCCTTTTGCCTTCTCCTATCTTGCCCAACTTGTTAGGAAGGCCAAAGAGAGTGCGTTGGATCTGGATTTAGCCCCTTTCAGCCCCAGAGTCATTGGGAATCGAGTCAGGACATCCCAACCAGCCATGAGGGACTTCTCATGGCTGGTCTCCAAGCCGGGCTCAAGCCTGGGTGCCCCCCAAAAACACTTAATTTACAGGGCCTAGGGACCAAGAAGATGGAATCGTGACATCCCAACTGTCCTACCTGGCAGGGTGGTTGTTTCCCCGCTATGGAAGTGACAGGGGCGCTGCTTTTCCAGATCGACTCCGCCTGGGCTCTTTTTTTTTTAAGCTTCTCCCTCTCTCCTTTCCCTTCCTTTCCAGCCCTTTTCCCTCCTGCATTTCCTCCTCCTCCTCTTCCACCACCACCACCCCCGTCCTTTTCACCTTGAGGATGTTCTCGTAGATGGTGGCCCGGAACTCCAGCAGCGCCTTCTGGTCGAACTCGCGGCCGTGGATGATGCGCATCTGCTTGAGGAAAGTCGACTTGCCGCTCTCGCCGGCGCCCAGCAGCAGGATCTTGACCAGGCGCCGCACCGAGCGCCGCTCCCGGGCCAGCATCGCGTCGATCTCGCGGCTCCGGCGACGGGCCTCGCGCTCCGCCTCCCGGCTCTTCTCTTTCCCCTCGCGGGGCGGCGGCGACGACGAGGGGAAAAGAGGAGGAGGAGGATGATGAGGCGGCGGCGGCCTTTCCCCACCACGGCTGGACGTGGCGGCGTCGGCCGACAAGAGGCAGCGGCTCAGGGTCCGCACGACCCCGGACATGGCGCTGAGGGAGGGCTCCCGGTGGGTGGGTGAGG